CCCCATGACTTAAAAATTTAAAGAACAATGAGGTTAAGGAACTTCCCTGAAGGCTCACTCCTGATTGGAGACAGTGTCTGGGTTCACGTTGCACGTACATCCCAGTGCTCTCAACCAGCCCAAGAATTTCTTCTCCGACTTCACTTGCCTCTCAGCCACCGCATCAACATGGACACCCAAATCAGTGACTGAGGTACGCAACCCAGCCATATCCTGCTCCAAAGATGTCATACGGGTGCTCCGGCGTGACTGTGATGGGCCTTCCACATTAACTCTCGGAGGAGGAGGAACCACATCTACCTCAGCATCATCATCAGCTGAATCATCATCAGAGTCATCAACATTCACCACCGGCTCTCATGCAATTCCAATTTTTCTTGCCCGGAACGGGGCTTTTAGTGGCAATATCCCATCAACTCGAGGGTCTTTAGGGACTCGAGCAATACGACACAGCCAGGTGATCAGTGAAGGGAAGTAGTGGCCCTTGGTTAGCTTAGGTGATCTAATGAACAATGGATGAGCCGGGCCACATCAAAATCATTATAGGACATGAAACAGTGGATTGCGGATGCCCGTGGTAGATTAACATCTGTCGTGTTGCTGGATGGCAACAATCGACTGTTGATAATGGTGAGCCAACACTTAGCCTCCCAATTCAGACAGTGGGAGTTGAGAGTAATCCTGTGCTTGATCCATAGGTGTTCTTCGTCCGGCATACAGATAGTATCGAGAATAGTTCCCCACAAGGCCCGAGTACCGCTAAAAGTACGATAAGGATCAAATTCACTCCTAAACACTGATAGCCTGTATATCCTACGGATGGTGTCGAGGGATGCATTTACCGGGGGTGTTGCGCACCGTCACAACCCCATTATCATGTTTTGTCAAGTTCGCATAGAACTCCCTTACTAGTTGAACATTTGCCTCCTCCGGTACCTCGAAGAAGATGTCCAGCTGACACCGCCTCAGCTCATTAAACATATTGGGGCATTCAACCTCCAAAGCCGTTCGATCAATGTGCACCTTAGGTTGCAACTTCTTAGCTGCTTTCTGGTTGTACCTATCCTCCGCTGATTTGGATAAAAATCGAGTGCTATCGAACTGAGGTGCACTGCCTTGGCTCCTAGCTCATGAGGAGCCTCCCGGTCCGCTAGTGGAGGGTCCGGTATTTTGTCTTTTCCTGGAAGAACTCATTGTACCTGTCATACAATGAAACGCCTATTTGTGAGTGTGCAAAATATGTGACTATGGATGGTTACTCAGACTTCACCATAACCATGTCACAATAGCTCCTTATATCTCCATTGGGGCAATTTCCCAAACACCTTGTGAGCAAGGCACTATCCAAGCACATATAGCCCTCATGGGTACATCAAAGCTCCTCCCCAATCAAGTATACTACCACACCAACACACCCCACACTCACTTCATTCAATCACCCACCAATAAACACCTTTTCAAACATGCAATGCACAGCCCCTTCACCAATCAAACTCAAAAACGAAATTTAAAAGCAAAAACAAGAAGAAAACGAATATACCAACAATTACATCCCAACACAATATAAATCTACATAAACTACAACACAATACAACACAATACCAAAGAAAAGAGAGGGAAGAGGTGAGGAACATACCGTAGTTGAAGAATGGGTGAGAGGAATGGAGGTGGGGGATGTTAGTATGAGGGAAAAAGAAGAAGGAGAGAGTATTTGGGTGGTTAGGGTTTAGAGAGAGGGAGAGATTGAAAATTTGGGGGAGGGGATCNCCTGGTACCCGCCGCGGTCCACCGCGACCGCGGTGTGTTTAAAATCTCGAGGCAGAAAGTTTACGCCTCACCGCGGTTTACCGCGGTCCACCGCGGTCGCGGTGAGATGAAAAATTCGAGGCAGAATGTTTGCCTTCCACTGCGGTCGCGGTGCTGGCACTTTTTTTTGAACACACTAACAACAACACTCGTGGGTTTCCTCCCATGCAGCGCCTGATTTAACGTCGCGGCACGAAACAAGCATTTGATCATCACTCCTTATTCGCGTACTGGGGCTCTTCCAAAGTGATTACTACTCTATCCTTTTTTTCTTCAGCCATTCCAAGGTAATGTTTCAACCTTTGCCCATTTACTGTGAACCTATTTGTCCCATCTTCTGATTCAATCTCTACAGCTCCACTTAAGAACAATTGCACCACTCTGAAGGGTCCTGACCATCGGGACTTTAACTTACCTGGGAACAATTTCAATCTCGAGTTGTATAACAACACTAGATCTCCGGGTTTGAAGTTTCGATCCAAGATGTTCTTATCATGCATTAATTTCATCCTTTCTTTGTACAATCTAGCGCTCTAAAAGGCCTGGAACCTGAATTCCTCGAGTTCATGTAACCCAGTGATTCTGTTAGTCCCTGCTGTCTCCATGTCTAAGTTTAACTGCCGCAATGCCCAAAGTGCTTTATGCTCTAGCTCAACTGGGAGGTGATATGTCTTGCCAAACACCAACTTGTACGGTGACATACCAATTGGGGTTTTGAAGGCTGTGTGGTATGCCTACAATGCATCATACAATTTCTTTGCCCAGTCAGTCCTTGTTGCATTCACCGTTTTTGTGAGGACACTTTTAATCTCCCTGTTGGACACTTCAACTTGCCCGCTCGATTGTGGGTGGTATGGGGTGGTCACTTTATGACGAACTCCATATTTTTCCAACAGCCGTGCGAATTCTCTATTGCAGAAATGGGTTCTGCCATCACTGAGTATAGCTCTTGGGGGTACTAAAACGTGTGAAAATGTTCTTCTTTAGAAAGCCTAGTACCCCTTTAGCATCACTGGTTGGAAGAGCCACTGCTTCGACCCACTTGGAGACATAGTCAATTGCTACCAATATGTACTTGTTACCATACGAGCTGACAAATGTCCCCATGAAGTCAATCCCCCACATGTCAAAAATCTCCACCTCTTGAATTGTGGTCATTGTCATCTCGTGTCTACGAGATATGTTGCCAGTTCTTTGGCATTCATCGCAGCTTTTAACCCAAGCATGGGCATCCTTGAACTGAGTAGGCCAGTACAAGCCCGACTCCAACACCTTAGCTACTGTCCGAATTCCTCCAAAGTATCCACCATATGGTGAAGCATTGCAAGCCTGCAAAATAGAATGTTGATCTTTCTCGCGGATACACCGCTGGATCATGTTATCTACACATATTTTAAACAAAAGAGGTTCATCCTAATAATAATACCGACAATCAAGAAAGAACTTTTTCTTCTGTATTGAGGAGAGATCATAAGGTACAATACCACTTGCTAAATAATTAGCAATATCAGCATACCATGGTGCCTCCTCCATTGTCATTGCCAGTAACTGTTCATCTGGGAATGTCTCTGTTATATCCTCAACCTCTACCTTTTTTTCAGCTCCTTCCAACCTTGAGAGGTGGTCAGCTACTTAGTTCTCTGTCCCTTTTCGGTCATGTATTTCCAGATCGAATTCTTGTAATAGAAGAACCCAGCGAATCAAACGTGGCTTTGACTCCTTCTTTTCTATCAGGTACCTAATTGTTGCATGGTCAATGTAAATAATAACTTTCGAGCCAATCAAGTATGACCTGAATTTGTCGAATGCAAAAACAACAACCAACATTTCCTTTTTCGTCACAGTGTAATTGAGTTGTGCACCGCTTAGCATTCTGCTTGCATAGTAAATTAGGTGCATCAGTTTATCCTTTCGCTGCCCTAAGATTGCTCCTATGGAATAGTCACTTGCGTCGCACATGAGCTCAAATGGCTGCTCTCAGTTGGGTGCAACAATGATGGGTGCAATCACCAATCGCTTCTTCAGCTCCTCAAATGCCAACCTGCAATCATTAGAAAACATAAAGAGATGATACTTTTCAAGGAGTTTGCATAATGGGTTAGCAATTTTGGAGAAATCTTTTATGAATCGCCTGTAGAACCCGGCGTGCCCAAGGAAACTTCTCACCGCCTTGACTGAAGTGGGCGGCGGTAGTTTTTCAATCACGTCAACCTTAGCATGGTCGACCTCAATTCCTTTACTGGACACTCGATTCCCTAGGACTATCCCTTCTTGTACCATAAAATGGCACTTCTCCCAGTTCAATACTAAATTTGTCTCCACACATCTTTTGAGCACTCTTCTTAAGTTGTGAAGACAGTCCTCGAATGAATCTCCCACCACGGAGAAATCATCCATAAAGACCTCAATAATATCCTCCACCATGTCTGTGAAAATGGCTAACATACACCATTGAAATGTCGCTGGTGCATTGCAAATCCCAAAAGGCATTCTCCGAAAGGCGAAGATGCCATAAGGACAAGTGAAGGATTTTTTCTCTCTATCTTCGGGGGCTATTGATATCTGATTGTACCCCAAATATCCATCCCAGAAACAGAAGTGCGATTGCCTTGCCAGCCTGTCCAATATTTGGTCAATGAAAGGCAAGGGGAAGTGGTCCTTTCGGGTGGCTGTGTTCAATTTTTGGTAATCCATGCAAATCCGCCATCTCGTGACTGTACGAGTTGAGATCAACTCATTGTTCTCATTTTTCACAACAGTCATTCCCTCCTTTTTTGGCACACATTGGACAGGGCTGGCCCAATTGCTATCAGAGATGGGGAAGATGATTCCCATATCTAACCATTTGATCACTTTCTTCTTTACTACCTCTTTCATGTTCGGGTTCAGCCTTTGTTGATGTTCTCTGGAATCTTGTGCATACAGAAGGCTGGGCTGATACCCTTTATGTCTGCCATGGTCCAGCCAATGGCAGTCTTACTTTTCTGCAGTACCTGTAAGAGCTGTTCTACCTGCACATCTAGCAAACCGGATAATATAATAACATGCAAAGTAGAATCAGGGCCTAAGAAAACGTACCTGAGGTGAGCTGGGAGCGGCTTCAGCTCCAGCTTGGGTGGTTCCTCTACTGATGGCTTTGCTGAAGGTGTAGCCCTTTTTTCTAACTCAAGGGAATTGAACTGAGGTTCCCTTTTCTAGAATCTTTGGCCTTCAAGTGCCATGACCCAATCAACTAACTCTTCACCATCCATCTCTTCTAAATTTGTCAGACATGCCTCCAATGGATATTTAGCAGTTAGGGTCACACCATCTTCTTGCAGGATCACATCCACTGCCTCCACTAGAGAGAAATTAGCATATTCACTGGGTCTCCTCATAGATTGCTGAACATTGAATATGACTTCTTCATCGTTCAGTCTCACAATCGATCAGTGCTCTCCTAGTGGCCAAAAATGGCCTACCTAAAATGATAGGTATCTCCTCATCTACCTGACAGTCCAGAATAACAAAGTCTGCAGGGAACACGAACTTCCTCACTTGCACCAACACATCATCAAGAATCCCAGTAGGCCTTTTTACTACGCGGTCAGCCATCTGCAGCAGCATCAAAGTCAGTCTAGCTCTGCCAATGCCCAGTTTGGTGTATACAGCCAGAGACATCAAATTTATGCTGGCTCCCAAATCACATAATGCCTTTGCAAAGGCATAACTCCCAATCGTGCATGGAATAGTGAAACTACCTGGGCCTGACATCTTTTGAGCTATCGGTTTGGTCACTACTGCGCTGCAGGTCTGCATCAGAGTCACTGTGGATAGGTCCTGAAAATCAAACTTCCATGACATTAGGTCTTTCATCATCTTTGCATAACCTGGCATCTCCCTCAAGGCATCCATCAAAGGAATATTCAACTGAATTTGACACAGCATCTCCATGAATTTCTTGTATTGATCTTCCTTCTTTTGTTTTACCAGTCTCTGAGAGAATGGTGTAGGTATCACCCTTTGTGCACTGTTTGCTGGCTTCTCTCTGTTAGGGTTCTGTGGCACAAGAGGCACCACCTGTTCTGCAGCTTGTTCATTTACCTTAGCCTTACCCTTTTCGTCTTGACCCTGTTCAACCACCACTTCAGTCAGATTTCATGGTTCATCTACCTCTAGTGGAATTGGAGTGGATGGCGTAGTCTCTTTGCTGGCTTTTGCAACCTCCTGCTCTATGTCTAAATCTCTCCCATTTAGAAGACTTACTGCCATCAGCTGATTCGGGTTTTGCTCCTTGGGGTTAATATTTGTGTCTGCTG